TTCAACGGAGTGAGGCATATTTGCGTGGAAATTATAGAGTAATCCCCAATGCATTCCTTGTACACACATGTCAATGGAAGATGCTTCGCTTAGCATTCTTTGCAATTGAGCACGAGGTTCTTCCAGTATTCGACGTACTCTACAACGGGCCCTTTCTTGCAGTGCTTCGTTTGGGCTAGTTTGAAAAGTTGACAGTTCGCCTAGTACTGTAGAAACAGGTTGGGAATTCTTGTTCAAGTTGATCCCAACTATCAATTGACCCAACTGTTAAGTCGGTATACCATTGAAAGTGGTACTTTTAAGGGAGCGTACGAACTGCTTCACCATGGTGTCATTGTAAGTGCATGCATTGTTACATGTCTCAATAAAATGAGCAATATGTTGCTTCGAGTTGCCATTCCCATCAAAATACTGGAATTTCGGAGGTTGGTAACTGAGTGACATCTTCATTTCGTCGATTCGATGACTATAAAGCTTGGCATACACCAATGAAGATTGCAATGAACCACCGTACTGGGCATGAATGGTGTCCGCAATCATATGTTGAAGTTGGTGGACAGATAGAGAGCCAACAGAGAGTTGAGTGGTATCACGCAAAACGTTTTGAACGGCTGTGTGATCATGCATATCTTGTTTCTGTTGGCATTCTTGGACTTCTAGTTCTTTAGCTTTGGAAGATCCTGGATTTTTTTGATCTTCTTTAATCGACGGATTTTGCAGCTCTAGCCTGTGCATGAGTGCATCAACTTGTACGTCTTTCTCTTCTAGCGACTTTGTTAACTTTTCAATGGCTAAAGCCATTTGTTGGATCCGGTCATCTGAACTCGACGTCGCTTCCGTGACCATCACCGGCTCAAGTGATTCTTCAGATGAAGTAATGTCTTCCCACCTTTGTAGAGAAGTAGTATGAGGGGATCCAGACAAAGATCTGACACTGGAGACGGAGCCCGAACGAGAGCTTTCGCCAAACTCTTGGTCTTATTTGTTGAATGAGAGTTTGGCTTTGTGAAAGCAATTTTCATTAGCCAGAACGAGTATTTTTCGCCGAACTCTTGGTCTTTTCTGTTGAACGAGTTTTTGGCTTTGTGAAAGCAATTTTCATTCTGCCTTTGTTGGAGAACTTCTTTAGTGGTGTGACCAGTTGAATTTTCCCACTTCTTGTTTGGGTTTTGATTGCACGGAACAGTTCAAGTGTCTCTTCAAGATGAGTCATGCTTTGCTTCGCCTGTTCGCTTACCATTGTTGATGTAGTGGTCGAAAATTGAGGATTCTTATATCAAAAGATGAGAGGATAAGAAGGTCCCACCGGGTGTGCCAAGAAATTTGTACGATGAATTTCGTGTATTAAAATACAGAAATCGTTACAAATTGTAATTTAAGAAATACAAGTGGATATAAACCTTCTTGTAATTGCAAATTTTTTTGATTAATGATTTGCATATTTGAAGACGAGAAGCAATGTGATTTGAAATCCTAGACTTTGATATTTATTGAGAATTTGATTTGTCGAGATCTTGATTTGTTTAACACTTAAATTTTGGAGTTTGGATTTGCACTTCAAAACTTGGACTTGATCTTGATTTGATTTGAAAAATACTTAGATTCTCTTGGGTTTGCTTGATTTGAAAAAGATTTTGATTTTCTCCGTGTTTGCCGAACTTGAACTTAAGAGGATTTCTTCTCTTCCTCTAATTTTGGAATTTTTTCAGCATTTCGTGATTTTCTTCTACATTGCCCCTCCTTTTTTTTAATAGATCTTTGATCCTATTTATAGGGAAAATTTGTGATCAATTTTGATAACCACTCAATTAATTCAATTAAATTGATTATAATTCAATAATTGTGGATTGTGCAAATTACCCAATTCCCTACTTTTTAAGATCTATTTTCCAAAATCAGATTTCATATTTTAATTTTCAAAAATCAGATATTTTTAATTAGATACAGATTATATATAAATTATATTTTAATTTCATCCCAATTAATTTTATCACAAATCAAACCCTAAATTCACTTCTATCCATCTCCGTCTCTCACTTCTCTCCCATGATATAACGGCAATTCACACAGCCACATTTCATTCATATATTCACTGGAGTAGATATCAGACAAGAAAATAAACACCAAAATGAGAAAATTCGATCCATGGCCAGTGTTCTTCAGGAGAGAATTCAATCGCAATTGGCCTTTCCTTGTTGGCTTCGCTATTACGGGCACCATCATAACCAAGTTTTCCCTCGGCCTCACTGGTTCGTACCCTAATTTTTCTTATTTCTATAATATATTTTGTATGTAATTTTTTATAATTTCTGCTTTGAGTTTTGATTTTTTTATTTTTCAATGAATGTTCCCAGAGGAGGATACGAAGAACTCGCCCTTTGTTGCTTGTTCTAGTGGCAGTGGTTTTGGTTATGTTTGGTTGTGATTGGATCTAGTGAGGTTGTGGTGGTGGTGTTTGGGTGACGGTAACTGTGTTAAGGGCAGAGGTTATGTTATACATAGCGGAGGCTGTGGGTTTTTTGGTGGTGGTGTGCGGTGTGGTCGTGGCGGTAAATATGTGTTGAGGTGGTGGTTGGGTATGATGGTTGTGGTGTGTTGTAGGGTGGTATGGTGTGTGGTGGTGGTGGTGGGTCTTTGCGATGTGTGGTGTGGATCTGTGCGATGTGCTAGTGGGTGTCGAGTGTGCCGACGATATGGGGTTGCGGGTTGGTGGAGGTGGGGATTGGCGGCGACGGTGACGGTGACGCTTATGGTGAGTTGTGACTGTGTTGGCGACGTTAGTGATAGTGGTTGTGGTGAGTTGCCGGTTGTGGTTGCGGCGTAGGGTTAGGGTAAATGAGACGGTAGTGGTGATGAGGTGGTGCTGTACAATTTGTGACCAATAAAATAGTTAATTGTGACCTTAAAATACACCGTGACTTGTAAAATTTGTGACTTGTGATAAAAAAAAATAATACACGATCTATTATTTTAATAAGTTGTGACCTATAAAATGTGGTTTGTGACAAAAATAATGCGTGACCAATTAATTTAAAAATGTCACCAATGATTCGTCATTGATGTATAATACGTGACCTAAAAATTGTTATTGTGATTCACAATTTATTAAGGTGTAATCGAGTTGTGACCAATAAAAATTTTGATTTTGTGATTGATGTCTATTTTGTGAATTATAAAATTTTCTATTTATGACCGAGAAACACCTATAAAATTCTTGATTTGTGAGCATAAAATAAGTTGTGACAAGTAATTTGATAAATTGTGATGATTTGCAATGAATAAATGAGTTGTTAAGGTCACGGTTCACTAGTCACAGGTTTGAGTTCATAAGTTACAGTAATTTTGTATAGGTCACAAATCCATGTAGACGGGTCACAGATCAATATGATCAATTAATTTAATAGTTATGACCATATTGTATAGAACTGTGACTAATTAATTCGTCGTTAAGGTCACAGATCGTTGTCACAGGTTTGAGTTCACAATCACGGTCATTTTTTATAGGTCACAAATCAATATAAACGGGTCACGGATCAATATTAACAAGTCACATGTTTTGTATAGGTCACAAAGATATAGTGGAGTTGTCGTCGGAATAGTCGCGGGAATTTGAGTAGTCGTCGGAATAGTCTCGAAAATCGGAGCAGTAGGGTGGTGGAGGTGGGGTGGGTTATATATATAGTGTATGTATATGTCAAATATCTTATTTTAGAAATTTGAAACTTGTTTTCTTATTTTTGAAATAGTATATAGTAAAAATAGGAGAAATAAAATTTTCACTTGTGGATTTTGAAAGAGTATGATGGGCTTTTAAAATTTTATGGGCCTTAGTAGGCTTTAATTTAGTAAGTTTAATTGAGCTAGTTATTTAAATTGACCAAACCCATTATTTATTTTTTTATGCCTACACACCAATCTTGAAATCTAATTGCTCGTTTAAAATTTAGGTAGACCGAATAGATCATTTGCGTTTATTGACTCTATACCATAACAAGACTCGAGTTTCACTGTAAAAGGTCTACCATATTAAAAGAGAAGCCCAAACTCTTACACATTGATTAATGTTATTTTATTTTTTTCTAATGTGAGATTTATTCCTTACATAAGTGACTTATTTTATTCTACATATACGCTCACACATGTAATGCGAGTAACACAGATTGCTAAAAGGGCAAACAAGAATTTTGCAAATCAATCCAATTACAAAAGCAACTACAGAAACCAAACATAATCCAAATGAAATCAAAGTTAATCTTACACTTCTGATGCAAGTCTCAGTTTCTTCTCTCCATTAGTCGATAGTCACACGTGACGATAATTGTTGAAGTCCAACCTCTAAATCGTTGAATGTGATCGTGAGTAACTCATCACCTTTGGAGTCAAAACTAAGTCGCGTATCCAAATTTTCTTTTGCGTTTGTTAGCATATGATCGGCTAATCCCCCATTCATTTTGTTACGTAACTTCTCAGTGCTTTCCTTCTCTATGAGTGCAGTTATAGCTTCTAAAGTACAGAGAGGATGCAACCTAAATCCATAGTATCGGCTCCCCTCGGTTTGTTTAGTCATCTTTACACGCACAATCTCGGCAAGGTCCTGGGGACTAAAATCATCGAAATGGAAAAAATGTGTTACCCTTCTGCAGAATCCTTCGTTCGAAGACATTACACGCTTCATCGGTTCAGTGTAACCAGCAAAAATTACTACAATATCTCCATCTTCCAACACAGACATGATCTCCTCTAACGCTTCCACCCCATAATCTTGGTGACCTGTTTTCTGTTCGATTGCTAAGCGGTATGCTTCGTCCACAAATAGAATACCCCCCTTGGCCTCTTCAATCTGTTACAAGCATCATAAATTTGTTGGTCATTTAATAATTTTGGACTGTGCAGAGTCTAATCTTAGAAAATTGAGTCATGAAGCCAATACCTTTCCTCTAGTTTTTGGTCCAGTTTGACCAAGATATTCCCCTACCAAGTCCGTTCTTTGAACTTCGATTACACTATCGGAAGAAAGAACACCCAAAGAATGGAGTAGACTACCAAGAATGCGTGCTACAGTTGTCTTTCCTGTGCACAAAATGATAAAAATATCAGTTCAATACAACTACCGAATAAAACTAATAACACGAGACATGGTTATGGCACGTGGAAAACTTTTCAGGACAGCTTTCTAGGAGAAGGATGTCATTAAGTAGGCCATGTGGTCATTCTACCTGTCCCGGGATTTCCAAGGAACGCCATGTGAGGTGCTTTCCGGGGGCCAAGATCTATCCCCATGGACCGACGCTTCTCGTCCAAAATCATCCCTTTTGCCCACTTCCGAAGTTGCACTTTAAGCTCACGTAGTCCCACTATCTTTGACAATTCACGGTCAAGCTCGTCTAATATTCCTTGCACTCCACCGCGTATATCTTCATTGTAATCTCGGTATTTCTGCTCTTCAACATTTTGGCAGAGGAGTCTGCGCAGTTCTTGATTTTCTAGAGTATCTGGGACATAATTTAAAGGAATCATGCCCTCCTGCATCAAAATCATCACAATCAACACCATCGACAAAAGAAAGAACTTAACTACCTTAACGAAGTGAACCACAGATACATTGTCTTCTGCATAGCAATTAGCATTGTGATCTAACAATGTCTTCACTATCGAGTAGTCTCCAGATCGTAGGGCATAGCCAACAGAAAGATGCAATGGAGTCAAACAGTTCTGCACAAAATACACCAAAAACACGAGAAATTTGGTAAATCATACATATGCTAATGACAAGTGAAGAAAAAATACATATATAAAATTTGCGGACATTGGTTTTAGCTTGGATGTTGGCATGGTGAGAAAGAAGCATCCTCGCTACCTCATCGCATCCGTTCTTAGCTGTCAAATGTAATGGAGTCTCACCATACTGAAAAGTGAAACAAAATGCAACTATATGAGATTCCTAGAGTGAATTCATATAGTTCTCAAACCAAAGCAATTTTGATCTTAAGTTTCTAATACATACAACATTTTTAGCTTCCAACTCGACCTCGCCAGGTCCACTCCAGTCGAGCAAATACTTAACTATCTCAACTTTATTGTTAGCAACGGAAACATGTAGTGGTGTCTGTACCAACTGCATCCAAGCAATGAAACCAAGAGTATAATGATAAGAAAGTTGATGGATTGAAGAAATAGCACCTGCACCTTGGCTAATGAAGTACACCTATGTCTATGCAAAGATAGGAGTACTTGTAAGAGTTCTTATCGTTTAAATAGACAGAGGCACAAAGCTATTACAATGTTCGTACAAATTATTTCCTATCTTTAATTAGGATCCATTATTTCATACTAGTTATCAAGATGCAAATTGTAAAATAACTGGTCTAGCATAACAGAGTCCTCAACTTGATAAAACCTTATTTTTCATTCAGTTTGTCGGATTGCCAAATCATAAGGTTACCAATCTTCATGTAGGCATGTAGAAATTGAAACATGTTTGTACATAATTCACGAAATACAAAGAGTTATTTTCCCGTAGTAGAAAATAAGAATCAACTACATAGTTAACTGGAGTGGATAAAAAGAATGATCATGTCATTTTCTCCATACTAATTCTAAGAACTGAAGGGCAATTTCCAGATCTGAAATTAACTAAGGACCTCAGATGAATTGACAGAACTTGAATTTTAATAAGTACGAAGGTAATATCTATTTCTTGATAATCACATCTATCCACATACAATGAATAATGGCTAATGGATGCTGTTGCAAGTTTCTATCTTCTGCATCAAATCTCCATTTGGTTCTTTAAAAGGATGGTCAAGATCAACATATCGAATAACGCCAATAAGAGTTGACAAGAGTTAATAGTCCATTTTAAGTTCCTAAATCAAGCAGTGGGAACTAAACGGAATATGAATAAGACTCTAAAGACTCATTAATTCTAGGAATACCAAGGATTTAGGTATCAAATATTTTTAATTCGGTGCAAAATACAGAATACTACTGAGAATCTGATGCTCGACTAGACCAATGCAGCAGCTGTGGCTGGCTGCGTCTGGCAGTAGGCAGAAAGTGGGGGCAGCACAGTCACTGCCCTTGGAGGCAGTGGCCTGTTGATGCAGCAACTGCCAACTCTGCCATCCATGCTACCAATCTCTCATCAGGATAATTGCTTCTCTAATTGTAATGCTCGTTTGTGAGCTTTGGAAGCTACGAAGGGCCTAAATAGGTTAAAATCATCTTGCAATTGCAACCGCAGTCCCCGAATACCTTGACACTAGTTGATCATCTGATTCGGCTATTACGTTCAGCTATTCATAGTGAGCAACTACCGTAGTCATCCTATGTGACATATACATAATTTTTTAATCAATAATGCTCACTATGGATGATTAAGTGATTAGATATATACCACATTGGATGATTACGATATTCGAGCACTATGAATAGCATTAGTCTTGATAAAATTCCATAGCATATTGATCTACCAAATGGGGAACCTTGACGCAAGTTTTGGAATCATTTATATAAGGTTCTCGAGTAGTTATAGGGCAAGAATGCCGCCCAAGTATGCTCTTTAATTTAAACCACAAATCAATCTTGGCCTTACCATTTCTAGGCCACTTCATTTTGAATTGTTTCCGCCGCAGTTACCAATTTTAAATATTTGCAATCGGGGACATTCTTAAAATCAAGGATTTCCTCCACTGCGCACACCCAATCAAGGAATTCATCTGCCTCCATTACGCCATTAAATTTTGGGATTTTGGCCTTAAAAACCCTCTTCCAATCGTCCATATTCATCCCCATGAAACCCATTTGGCAATTTTTTCTTGGTTATGGAATTGTTGTACAAATAGGGATAGAGCGCATTCACCACTCAAAAGCATTTTAAAGCTCGGTGAGTAAAGCTTGACGGCACGACGAAAGTATAAGTTCAATGATTAATGAAATAAGCCCAATGAGCTGTGGTCAACCCTGGGCAAAATGAATCATAATTTCAAGGAAACAGATGAAGGAAAAAGGCATTCACTCATAATGGAACCCTACACATATTCACCAAGTATGATTAATGCAAATGATTCATCAAAGTAAGTCAAATTGTACCAAAGAGAGAGATCTTACCATAAGGCTTCTTCCATGAAGACGAGAAGGGTCGTTCTGAAGTAACCTCTGAAAGGCAATAATATCTCCAGATTCAGCGCATGCATGAATTGAGGTATTCTGTACAGATACTTTAGAGTGTTTGTCCTGAATCCTCATTTTAGTTTCTCACTTACCCCAACTCAATCAAACTCCACAGAAATTGAATGGAAGAAGGTGGGGATGGAAAATAAAAAACTAGAGAATTTGGTTGAGCAAGTTGTTTCAGAGGACTGAGAATACTTTAATTGTTTGAAGAAATGAAAATTCTCAATACAGCGTGAGCTGCGGCTGGCAATTTGACTTTCAGAGGATTTTCTGTCCACTTGCAAAGCGAAACCGTTCAGCAATTTCCACAGTTGACTTTTGCATTTCTTCTTCTTCTAACTTTGTCATTGTCCACGGTCGACTAACAAGTCGAGGCTGCTAACTTTATCTTGTACTTTGCCATTTTTCTCGTTCTATAATAACACACCAAGAGCATGTTTGGCAAATAAATCTACGAGAGCTCGTTTGTTATGATTTCTGAAAAGTGAAAGTGAGGATTTAAGATTTAAAAGTTATTTTTGATTTGTTTGATTAATTTTATGAAAATATTTATTCTAATTAAAAGAATTTTTAGAAAAAAATTGATCCAACGTAAATTCCTCTAAAAACACTTTCGAAATAATAAACATTTTTAAAAATTATTTTTCAAACAAAAATTAAAGTCTTCAACAAAAAGTAAAAGCAAAAATAAAAATCATGTCAAACGGACTTTTACGCAGTGGATTTTACGTTTTTCCAAGTGAAAATAAGTTTCACCCACAAGTAATTTATCATATCTTGGAGGTGGTTGACCACCTCAGTCAAAAGAAATTAGTACAATGATGCTGTATATGTCGGACAGACTTCACAACCTACAACAAATAGGCTAAAGTCAACTTTTTAGATTGCTGGCTGCTTTTCAACTTGGATTATTCTTCTTGAACAGGGTCTCCTCGACTCAGTTCAAACAGACCAAATGGCGTCCCTATTGGCAGGGAGTCTGTGGGTATAGGCTTATGATAGCTGAGTTTGTCACAATTGAACTCTTTTTTTTTTTTTGATTCCTAGGTTTCCCAACTTACACTAGACTATATCCTGGACCACCCAAAACCGGTGCCTCAACTCTGGGCGGAGGTAAATCGCGGGTTACGCCCAATCAAATCAGTGTCCATGCAAGCTTTATACTCCTGATCCCAAGGGAGTCCTCCTGCGCCGGATTTACATCACCAAACTGCTCCACCACATGATTTGGTTATTACAACACTTGGCTGCTCTGTCCGTGATTCGAACTCTCCACACTGGGGTTGCAAGCCCAGCCTTGCACTGTCTTTGCCATCTTAGATGTGTCCCGGGGCACCACAATTGAACTCTTTCAACTTATGTCAGATGGCTGCAGGCTTATGACAGTTTAGTTTGTCACAATTGAATTTGACATTTGAATCGTTAGGAATATGACATGCCAAGTATATGATGGATATCACTTCTTTTCTATTGATATAAAAGATCACACCAAACGTTTTTTCAAAGGTAATGAACTTTGAATGCAGAGCACCATTTTTTATATTGCAAACTTGGTATTTTCTCTTCAAACGCGACACTCATTATTTTAGTCCATTGTGTTTCTCACACAATCAAATATCTTCTTCATCATTTGACTTGAGAGTGTCGAAGTGCTCGGGGTCATCACAACCCTTTAGAGCTACAACCATATACTGTTTGATGCGATGTTCAAATGTGCAGGTAACATACACGTGAATGAGAGAGGGGGAGTGTTATACTGACCATGCTTGTCTCGTTGGATTTCTAGACCAACATATTGATACCATATGTGAAAACTCATACTTCATTCACGAGCATATTCCGTGTGCGCGAAAAGCTTACTAGAAAATTCATCTTCTTCCCCCTTTGAAAAAAGTGTTGTTTTTGATGAAAGAAGTGAAAGTTTTAGAGGATTTTGTTGTCCACTTGCAAAGAGAAACCATTCAGCAATTTCGACAGTTGACCTTTTCATTTCTTCTTTTTCTTCCAACCTTTTATTGCCTAACCATTTCCAAATAATTACTAACAAGTTGAGATTGTAGGTTTATCATATACTTAGCCTTTTTTTCTCATTGAATAACACTTTACATCTAAGTAAACTGTCCTTTTTTCTCCATAATGTTGTGCAAAAGATATTTTTTGCTAATTTGCATATTTCACTTTTAATTCTAACCTAACTGAATGCATTATGTGTGTCTACTTATGATGCATAGGTGCTTTGGCTCAAGCAACTTGGGAAGAGTCTTTTCCTATAATCAATAATGATAATAATTAATGAAATTAATAATAGATAACATAAATTTTATTGATATTGATTGATGATATCATCGATTATTGTGTTGGAATCTATAAATTCGTGATGCACCATCATTAGATATTATCAGCGACAAATGGTGTCGGAATGTCGACAACTACAAATGGTGTCAACTACAAATGGTGTTTCGATCACTCACAAAAACCGTTGGTATCACCATTGACCTTTAAAATATTTATAAATTACAGACAATTAAGTTCAAATATGTTTATATTTTTCTTTATAATATTATGAATTGTTTATTTTTTTAATTATTATTATATTTTTTGTTGAAACATTATATTAATATTTATTTTTTATTACTTTATTTATTGAAAACTTTTATCGAAAAATTAAATTTATTAAACTCTTTATATTTTTTAACATTACTCACTAAATAGTCGTTTGTAAACTTAATTTTATTTTTTTAATTTCCCATATAATTTTTTGAATTAATATGTTATCTTTTATCTTTTATTTCTTTATTTGATAAATAAAATTCTATCAGTAAATCAAATTTCTTAAGGTTTTGTGTAACTCTTGGCACGTAATTTTGTCTAATTTTAGGTTTTTGGTAAATAAACTTAATTATTTTTTATCAACATGAAAATTAAAAGAACCATCTTATATGCATGTCAAATTTTTTAATTATTTATCACTAATGTGACATATTTGCCTAGGTGCAAGTAACGTGCAATGCACGTTTGCCTAGTTTATATTTAATAGTTTTGTTTAATAATTAATTTGTTATTAATAAAGATGTAATTTTTTTGGTTAATTAAAAAATTAATGATGTAATGATTATGTAATTGTTAAATAATTAAATGTGTGATTTTGATGTTGTGATGTAAGTTGGTGAGATCGAAGAAAATAAACAAAAGTTGACAAATTTGGAGAAATGGCTAAATTGTAAGGGATCCAAAGTTCGGGGACTAAAATGTAAATACTTAAAAGTTGTGCCGAACCTCACGATGAAGATTTGAGAGTGCTCGGAGTCAATTGGATAAAGGAAGACGTCAATGGAATCAAATTTAGTCAAAAGATGATCACAAATCAATTTCCAACCGAAAAGTTATGCTCCGATGTTTTAGTCTCATATTGAGAGCTATTTTTGGCATAGAAAGTGATCCAATTGGAGAATGATGTCTGAATCAAAGTTGTAGCCAGATGCATTAGCTTTTCAACGCATTTTGAATCACCTCAATCGGATATCGGAATACAAAGTTATGATAAAAACACTAAAAGAAGGCGCAGCTACCTATTTAAAACAAGAAATTCTGTTACATAGTCCGTTAAAACAACAAATTCCATTAGTTTTTCCGTTAAAAAATAAGAAATTTCGTTACATAACCACTTTTAATATATAGAAGATATATATATATATAGTAATGCATACACATTCAATATGTCTGAAAATGTATTTTCTAAATAGAATTATGTTCAAAAATGGTTAAATAAATATATTGATAAGTTACTGCTCTTGAAAATGGTTATGGTTCTCACCGTTTTAAATCCGTGCGGTTTTCTAAATATTTTGTTGATTTAATAACATAATCTACCGGAAATATTTTATTTTATTTTTTGGAAAATTTGTAATGAAGGTTTCGAACTTTCAAAAAGTCAGTACCGTCCCAATTCTCAAACCTTTAAATCATAGGAATATTCTTAGACCTTTTAAAAATGTTAAGTAGAAGGACTTCTGGATGATTTCCATCAGGAGCCGCCGCAAAGATCGCCTCCAATTTTCTCTTAAACAAAACTGAAAAATTCATTTTTCCAACCCTATGCATAGATATGTCAATGGGTCGAGTTGAGCCGGCACGGCCCTTAAAGCCACAAGCTGAGCTCGTGGCTTGTTTGCTGGTGGGCGAGCTCGGCTTGGTCCACGAGCTCACGAGCTAAGCCGGCTCGGCTCGTGGCTCGTTAAATTTTTTTTATAGCTTTTCTTAGTTTTTTTTTTAATGTTTTTTTTTCACGAGCGGTACCCACGAGCGCTCGCGGCTTGGCTCATCTAGCTAGCCGACCTGCTCGGCCAGTGTTCGGGCTCATCTTTTGAAGAGCCCGAGAGGCTCATGGGTCGCTACAGTACGAGTCAAGCCGAAGAGTCGTTCAGTTCGATTACCACCACTACCCACACATCAATTACAATAACCCAACATTAGTTTCCTGCTACCAACAGTATGAAGAAGATAATAATAAAAAAATCAAAAAATTAAAAGAATACAAGGAATCATTTTCTTGATTTCTTTTTTTAAAAAGCAATTCTTCAAAATCAAAATCAAGCAAACAGCAAGAAAAATGTTGAATTATTCGATTAAACTTATTATTTCTTTTCCTTGCATATTCCCAATTTCGTCGGTTTTGAAGATGGTCAAATTAGATTCAATGGCTTGACTTTTGGGTTAATAAATGGATTTTTGGAGGAAAACCATTTAGAAGTTCTATCGCATATTTTTGAAAGGTTAGAAACACTGCACTTTTTTGTAAAGTTTGAAATCTCAATTATGAATTTTCCTTTCTTAAAAATTTTTCCAGTTACCCTTCAAGGAAAGTCAAATTCAGGTTAGTATCTAGTAATGATTCGCTCTTATTACTTGAACTATGTTAAAATTACCATTATTCCCTAATCAAGATTCCTCTCTTAAGCCTATAAGCTCAATTCGGTTAGTTGTGCTCATCCCAGTTAGTAGTGCTCTTCAGCTGATAGTGACACTTCTTTGGGACCACAATGATTTGTTGTAACAATATTGATTCTCACATC